AGAAAGAGGTCAAATTTCTGGGTCATGTAGTGTCAGAAGAAGGGTTAGCAGTAGATCCAGCCAAGGTTGCGGCTGTTATGGAGTGGGGACAGCCTACCTCACCGACAGAGATTCGCAGTTTTCTGGGATTGGCGGGGTATTATCGCAGGTTCATCCAGGGATTTTCCAAAATTGCGGGTCCACTTACTCATCTGACTAAGAAGAATGTACCATTTGTATGGGATGATTCTTGTCAGACTGCTTTTGCTAAATTGAAGAGTAAGTTAACTTCTGCACCTGTCTTAGCCACACCTCAGAGTGGAATCGAGTATTTAGTATTTACCGACGCTTCTCTGAAGGGTTTGGGTTGTGTGTTGATGCAAGAAGAGCGACCAGTTTCTTATGGGTCTAGGAAGCTTAAGCCTCATGAGCTTAATTACCCGACTCATGATCTAGAGCTCGCCGTAGTGGTTTTTGCCTTGCGTATTTGGAGGCATTATCTTTTGGGGGAGACTTTTCGATTGTTTAGCGATCATAAGAGTCTACAGTATTTGTTCACACAGAGGGAACTGAATATGAGACAGAGCAGATGGTTGAAGTTTGTGAAAGACTATCATTTCTCTATACAGTATCATCCAGGGAAAGCAAATGTTGTAGCAGACGCACTCAGCCGCCGACCCTATGTCAGCCTTTCGGCTTTGTTTGCAACAGAGTGGGATGCTTTGAAGACTGTTGATGAGTTAGCAGACGCTTTTATGGCATGTGTGGTAGTAACTCCTTCTATCATTCATCAGGTCATTCAAGCGCAACTCTCAGATCAACAGTGTATTGATCGGGTTTCGGAGTTAGCCTCCGGAGATGTTCCTTTTTATTCTATAGGGACTGATGGAGGATTGAGGTACAAGGGACGTTTAATTGTGCCTTCAGCTGACAATTTGAGAAATGTTGTGATGAGAGAGACACACACTTCTCAGTTCTCTGTACATCCAGGGGGAGACAAGATGTATCAGGACATGAAACGCCAGTTTTGGTGGGCCGGCATGAAGAGAGACATAGCTATCTTTGTCTCTAAATGTAGCACCTGTCAGATGATTAAGATTGATCATCAAAGACCGCCAGGATCGTTACAGCCACTTCCTATACCAGAGTGGAAATGGGAGAGTATTTCGATGGACTTTATAGAGGGATTACCTACTTCGCATCATAATCATAACTCTATTTGGGTCATTGTTGATAGATTGACCAAGTCCGCTCATTTTCTGCCTGTTCGTTCAAACTTTACGTCAGAACGGTATGCTAAGCTTTATATTGCAGAAATGGTGAAACTTCATGGCGTACCATTGTCCATCGTATCAGATAGAGATCCGAAGTTTGTATCAGGATTTTGGAGGAGCTTTCAGCAGGCTTTGGGTACGGAACTTTATCTTAGCACTGCTTATCATCCTCAAACAGATGGACAGACTGAGCGAGTTAATCAGATTTTAGAAGACATGTTGCGGGCATGTGTTCTTGATTTTAAGGGCAATTGGGAGGAATATTTACCGCTGTCAGAGTTTGCTTATAACAATAGTTATCAGAAAACTATTGGTATGGCACCATTTGAGGCTTTATACGGTAGACCGTGTAGGTCTCCTGTCTGTTGGCTTGGAGTTGGTGAGAACAGCTTTTTGGGTCCTGAATTTATTAAGGACACGTCAGAAAAGATCGCTATCATTAGGGATCGGATGCGTACAGCTCAAAGCAGACAGAAAAGTTATGCTGACCGTCGAACTCGTGCTTTGGAGTTTAAGGTTGGTGATCAGGTTTTGCTTAAGGTTTCTCCTATGAAGGGAGTAATACGGTTTGGGTCAAAGGGTAAGTTATCGCCTCGGTTTGTGGGTCCTTTTATGATTACAGATCGGATTGGGGCAGTAGCTTATCGTCTGGCTCTACCAGATAATCTTCATAGGGTACATAATGTTTTTCATGTATCCATGCTGCGGAAATTTCTACGGGAAGAAGATCGATATCAACACATTGATGTGGGTGAGACTGAGTTGCAACCCGATGCAACCTATTTGGAACAACCTTACTGTATTCTCGATCGTAGGAATCAGATACTGCGCACGAAGACTATTCCATTAGTACGTGTACAGTGGAGTCATCATAGTGCTACAGTGTCTACTTGGGAACGGGAAGATATTATCCGTGCCAAGTATCCAGAGCTCTTTAATACAGGTATGTAGTGAATTTCGGGGACGAAATTCTGTTATTATGGGGGGAGAATGTAATACCCCGTATTTTATTAAAGAGTTTAGTTTATTTAAATTCAATTATGTGTGGATTCCTTTACCTATTATTGTGCATGCTACATTGTTATATTAAGTTCATTTAATGGTGCATGTAAATTAATTGTGTATGTTAAAATAGTAAATTTATTCATTTAATTGTGCATGTATTATTATAATTAATTTTATTTGTTGATTATGTTTAATTAAGCAATATTAGTTAATTAAAGTATTATATTTATGTTATAAAGTATTATGATGATATAATGTATTCTTATGTAATAATAATAATAATAATTATAATAGTTTATTAATAATAATAATAATATAATAATATTAATTATAATAGTTTATTTATAATTATAATAATAATAATATTTATAATAAATAATAATAGTATTAAATCAATGTAATGATGAAGAAATTAAATCTTAGGATAGGATTTCATTCCCATAGTTGAACCTTAGGACATCTTGCTTGACTTGGCTTGCTTGCCTTAAAGCCATATGGTTGGGAATGTGGTTAATTAAATGCAAAAATAGATTTTTGTATTATTTATATTATATAAATTGTATATAAATTAGCTAGCCTACCTTAGAAGGAAGGAAAGGGAGTTAGAAACAAATTATAAATTTTAGTGAGCCATTATAAAAGTGTGGAAAGGAAGAGAGAGAAAGAAAGGAGCTTGGACCGGTGTTGAAAAAATTTACCCGACTACGCGCAATCGGCGGATTTATTTTAAATCCAAAAAGGCAAGTTATTATCTATTTTTTCCCTTTGAATCCATAAATTATTCAATTAATTTATTCGGCTATTGTAGAGGTTAGAAGCATACTAGGAATTTTAAATAAATAAATTTTTAGTTTATTAAAGAAATGAAATTTTAATTATTAAAGGTGTTAGATATTTATGTATTAGCCTATGTAATTAAAATATAGCTAAAAATAATTATTTAAGGATTTGGGAAATTTTCTAGAATTTTCTGGAATTTTTCGGGATTTTTCTGTAATTTCCGGCGAATTTTCCGGCGAGATTCCGGTCACCGGCAGTGGGGAAGACAACCGGAGTAATCCGGTGTGAGGCAGCGCACAAGGGTTCCCATGCACTTACATCAGCAGCCGTTGGATTTGCTTTTGACCACTAGATTGATTCTATGTAGCATAGTATACAATAAATAGGATACGCGCAATTCAAGGACCATTGGATTAAAGGATGATCATTGAGATCAATCCAGTGTAGCGCGCCCACATAGAAACGGTACAACCGACCAACCAGCACACGCCACGTCAGCAGGAACCATTAATGCGCGCGTGGCAGCGCGTGCGCGCGCGTGACTGATTCCAGACGCGCGTGGGGGCGCGTGCAAACGCGTGCGCGTGTGGGAATAGTGGAGGCGCGTGTGGGAAGCTCTGGGAGGCGCGTGGGGGCGCGTGAGGGACCCCTACAGCTACTGGAAAAGTCCAGAATACCCCTAGGGACTGTTTTGTAATTTCCAGAACCTTAAACTTGCACTTTTGGGCCTATGGTTGGTACTTACGGGTTTAACGGGACATTAAATTATTATTTTATTAACCGTTAGTTATTATTATGTCCGATTAATATTTTTAAATATTAATTGTATCGTTTTCAATACAGATCACCATTAAACGGATGTAGTTAATTTAATAACATTGTTAATCATTAATTGTGTTATTATTTTATTAAACAGTATTAAATTATTAATGTTAAAATTAAATGATTACATGGTTTTAATTCAAATAAATTGTCCGTTATACATTGCAGGATTATTTATGTTGTTAATGATATACAAATCATTATTATTATGCTGTGTGCATTTCCGGAAAATAAATGGACTGTTTAAATTATGTCGCATTTATATTATATGGATGTATTGCCATATAGAACCATGTGAGCTGGCTAATAAGTTTAGACTCATTTATACCTTATGCATTCGTTGCTATAGACAGATGTGTGGCTGTCGGGGTATGTGGTTTAATATTATTGGCATGTGTTGGCTAATTGACATGCTCAGTATGTTTAGTAATATTATTGGCATGTGTTGCCTAATTTATATGCTCAGTATATTCATTAGTACTTTGAGAGGTGTTATCATTGTGTAGTTCGTTATAGTCTGCGTTGTCAGTACCATGCACCATGTATAATAGCTGATTTCCCGGGTAGGGAAAGGCGACACTTAACCACCTAGTGTGAGTCTAAGTGATCACCGTCTATTCTGGTTGAGGTCATGTTATACATTGGATAGTTCCCTTAGGGCGTATACAGATATAGTACTCATCCGATTCATAATGATTAATTTATTTGATTCTCTGATTTGGGTCATAGTAGAGAGGACTTGCTCGTGGGGTTGACCCACCATTATTGTTATTTCAGGATACGGTCAGTACCCGTTCCAAGGTTGAGGTTAGCAGTGTGGGACCACCATCCGAACTCATCTACTCTTACAATCCAGTTCAGGGTAGAAGTTTTATGTATTACTTCAGTTTCAGTTTTTATTTACTTTTGACGTTGAACTCTTAGGTTTATATTTAGGGATCCTTGATATAGGATTTCCAAGTTGTAATGGAGTACTGTATTTAAATAAAGGATGGATGGATGTTGTATTATTTAGTGTTCCTTTTCTGTCTAAATTCTTTTATTATCATCATTTTGTATTCCATGCTTGTATATTGCCAATTGTTTTTGATATCCCTTGTTTTTCGTGTATAAGCCTGATCAACTTATGCGTGGAAAATGTTTGGGGGTGTCACAAAACCCGTCATAAATAAAAAAAATATGGCCTTAAGGCCTTACATGGGTATTGAAATCATGATGAGACTACAAAATACAAATGAATGGTCTCAAAATCATTTCCAACCATGTGATATATATAAAATGACCCTAATACTATTTACAACAAAAAGGGGTGAAATAAACATTAAGCACTAAAAAGTCCAAGTCCGTCAACCCGCCTACACCGGTGGTAGATTATTGTCCGCCACTACTTTGCCATGCCCTGAAAAAATGTTAATAATAAAGAGGTGAGCATAAAGCTCAATAGGATGTGCCTAAGACACATCTCTTATGACCCTATGAATCTAAACAATGAATAGAGCAAAAGAGAGCGAGATCATACAACTCAGGGGAGAAATATAACTATAATATCAACAAAAAACCATCCAAGTCATAACGAGCCATGCCGTGCAATGGGATGCAATGTCATGCATGTCACTCCCCATTTCGCAAAAAACCATTTCTGTCATCATTTCCAAACCGTTAGTGCAACCCGTCCCATGGCAACTCCATGGCGACACGAAAGGAAAATTGGCTAACTGTCCCTAACCACAAGGCAACTCCAGGGCGTCATTTGGGGCCCAATTAACTCAACCATGCTAAGGCAATTTCCCTAGTCCCCTCTAAGCCACACTAACCCCACGGTCCCTAGGCAGCTCCTAGGCAGCCGGTTTTCGCAAACCTTTCATTAAAAGCTTTTTCCCAAAATCATTTTCTTCCCTTTTCAAATCATTATCCCCATTTCTTCCCAATACTTATACATGAATGTATCATGCCATGTCAATATTCATTATCATGCTTTTAATTTAAGCTTAATCACCTAACATGCTTTACAATAACACAAATAACATATCATGCTTCCAAATAAATAAAAATCTAGCATGTTAAGTACAAAATATATGAAGACAAATCCACATAAACATGCTTCTCGCAACAAATCCACAACCCACTTACACATATATCATCTACACATAGAATTTCACATAGATATACAAATCATTGACAACAATATAATAATTTTTTTAAGAGTTAATCACAATTAAGTATGCTATACCCTCAATTATAGAGAAAATTCGCAAAAAATCAAACAGTCTTTGTGGATTTGGACATCCCTACCTCAAATGAGAGAAAAGCCCCAAAAATTGCCTAATTCCTAGCCCTAAATTCAAAATTCCACGGTGTACCAAAACCTCCTTTGCTTTGATCAAATCAAAGATCTCGACGGGCTCTTTAATTTGCCGCAAATGGCACCCAAAAACTCCAAAAGATGAAGGAGGAATCAAACATTGAAAATTTGAAACCAAAAGAAAAAGACAATTATAGGAAAGAGAAGGAGAAGGAGAAGGAGAGAGAGAGACTTGCGGGAGAGAGAAAGTGAGATGAGAAAAGTGAGCCAATATTGGGGTCGAATCGTCTCCATGGCACCTCTCACTGGAGGGTGTCTATGGCAGATCCAATGGCTAGGATGAAGCCAGTTCAGCCTATTTTGCCATGTCATTGCCTTGTTAGCGATGACGAAGTGCCAAATCAGCAGTAATTTTTAAACCTTGCTTTTTTTACCATATACGAATACTACAGACAATATACGTACTTACCATATACGAATATAATACCAAAACCATCCTCACCACCGTTCATCCTCCGCACCACCGCAACTGCGGGCAACACCATTGTTCAGGTTTGTTTTAGCTTCAAGATCAATTTCTCTTTCAGAAAGAAAGTGTTCTTTCTATTTTTCCCTTTTTTTTTTTTCTTCTCTCTTTCAAAAAGTTCTCTTATTGCCTTCTCTCGCATCAATTGAAGAAGGTGTTAGTGAAGGATTGACACCTTCTGATTCAGCTTTGGGGTTTCTCAAAGAGAAGACAACAGAGACGATAAGTGCCAAAAAGACCTATTTGCTCATCATCGCCGCCATTTTCATTTCAAGAAATTGGAACAATCTTTAGAGAGACGAAAGAGTTTAGAAAGAGATTGAGAATGGTAGATAGGAGATTCCCCTTCTTCTTTCCTCTACTTTCTCTCTCTACTCTCTCGCCTCTCTTCATCAATGTCCTCCACCATTACCATCCCTCTCTCCCATTTCCACACAAACCCATCTCCATCTCTAGATCCATACCAAACCCTCACCCATCTAGCCTCCAAAATCTTTGTGCGCAAATTGCCAGAAGCGTGGCCACTAACAAACTCAAAAGATAAATTTAGTAATATGTGTTTATAGATAGAAACAGAGAAAAAGCATAAGCTCAAATCCGCCATTAACAAAGCTTAATTTGAGAAATTATACATATAAATATATACTCATATATATATATATATATAGACACATATGATTTTTTTATAGAAAGAGAGAGAGAGGTTTTGAGCATCTTTGAATTTGAAAAATAGCTAAGAAAAAGCTCAAATCCGCCATTAATGAAGCTTGGTTTGAGTAATTATACATATATATATATATATATATATATATATATATGTACACACATATAAAGAAAGAAATTTTGAGCATCTTCGAATCTAAAGAATTGTCAGAAAATAAGAAAAGAAGTAATCGAAAAGGTATAACACAATAGATCAATCATATCTAAATTTACAAAGGATCTCAGAAATCAAGAAAGTAGTACATAGTTAGGATACAGATCTAATCATACAAATACATATAATGAAACGAATTAAACGAAAAACCAAAATTAAAAGCAGAATCTAGACAAATTCAAGCTTAATTCAAGTTATTTGCTTCGTTTTGTTGTAGTAACGAATCGAGAGCAGAGACAGCAAAAGATGAACCTCATCCTTTCCCCAGCGAGTTTTGGCAGTGGCGGGCTTCGTTGGAACCATCGGACACGGCGGAGGAGGTAGACATGGCCACGCCGACGACGAGGAGGCGCTGGACGTGGAGGAGGAGGTAGACACGGCCACGCCGACGACGAGGAGGCGGAGGATGAAGAGGAGGAGGAGGAGGAAGAAGGCGGCTTAGAGAGAGGCCAGAGGTAGATAGAGTGGAGGTGACGGCAAGAGAGAAGGCAATAAGAGATATGTATGAGGAGACTATTAGATACATACTAGGTAAATACTTTATGCACATACCTACCATGTCACCCATGCCACATCAGCAATGGACACCCTCCAGTGAGAGGGTGTCTAGAGACGATTTTTTCCCGCCAATATTGGCCTCTTGGCCCTTTTGTTAAAAACAAAGCGGGTCCCACCAAAATTAAAATATTTTGTTTTTTATTTTATTTCCACCACTAATTTTATAAATGCACACACTATATTATAACCACATACAACACATAAAATAAAATAAAATAAAATGAGGTGCAACTGGATCCAAACAAAACTCCCGTACACAATAATTTCGGTAGCGGGTCCCACACAAGACCTTCCGGTCCGAAAAACTGAAAAATGCCGAAATGACAACCCTTACATTTTAAAGAGTCTTAAACTCAATGAAATGCCCCAATCAACTCTCGGACACACTCGGCACACTCCAATGTGTCCAGCATGTAAAACGAGAAAAGACGAAAATACCTTTACGAAACGGACAATTCCAGAAATTGAAAAATGGTAAAAAAAGAAATTTTGCAGTTTTCCTCACTGGATCACCAAGTCCTCAAACCTCCGGCCTCCACTACAACTCTCGGACCTCTCACTGTCCCTCCTCCTCAAACTCTTAACTCTCTCTATCTGCAAACGCTCTCTGTATTCCTACTTATTTAGTGCACACAACACTAATTTAAATAGCCAATTCCACCAACACCCAACACAATCAGCCAACAAACCCACGTGCATAAAGCAAAATTTTGGCCCAAAAAGTCTATTGGGCCCTGCTATCTTCATCATCACAATCTTTTCTTCCATCAGATCACTTTCTTTACTCTCACAAGCAACAAATATAAACCATGCATAGCCAAAGCCCAAAAGAGTTTTGCCCAAGTAATATCATTGTGGGTCCCGCTAGTACACATCACACAATCTCTTTCTCTTCCCACTTCGGCTACTCCCTCTTATCACCATAACCCATCTATATATAAATATATATATATATATATATATATATATATATATATTTAATAAGTAATCAAATAAAAAACCAACCCATTAATATCTCTTTAGGGGACCCCACGAAAAAAAAAAAAAAAAAAAAAACACCATTCCTTATATCTCTTTCACTTCGCTGCTGCCCACTTCCTTCATCATATATATATATATCATGTGACATAAAAACAAAATCAATCCACCTTCAGTCTCAAAATTTACAAATCCCATGAAACAGACCCAATATCTCTAAATATCAATCTTTGTCAAATATGAATCATAAAATAAATATAAATTAAAATCTTAAAACATCAGGTTGTCACAATCTCCACCACTTAAAAAGAATTTCATCCTTGAAATTCAAATCCAACAGTTTTCGTATACCCGAAAACAACAATAACCATAAAAAAAAATCCATAAATCCTTACCCCAGGCGATGTGAGATACCATGATATGTAGGACGTTGTGGTAGCTGCCAGTGCTAGTCACTCGCCCATACACTCCGTAACCGTTGTGGTAGCTAGTTGATGCGTCACCCGTCCACCAAAAAAAAAAAAAAATTAACAAACCAGGGCTACCTGCCCAATCACACTAAATAACCATTCCCAGTAGCTGCCAGTGAAGCCATCCGCCCACACACACCTGGTTACGAGTGGTAGCTAACCAGTACTACACACTCGCCCACTTACACCAGTCTATATCATCACTACACTCACACTTCCGGCTAAGTACAGCTTTGATACTGGTGGTGGTTGTCGCGTTGCACCAAAAGTTTGCAAAGAGATGAACTAAGAGTGTGAGTGTGTAATGTGGCCAAGTTTTAAATTTATAAAAGTCACTACTACTTCTAACTAAAAATATAGCTAGGGTGAGTAGGGATCGTCCCAAGGGATTGGTGGGTTGTGTCACTATGGAAACAAGATTAGGGTTAGTAGGTCGAGTGATCAAAATGTGGTTGGTTTGGTTGATTAAACTACAATTAAAACTAAACAAGCTCAATATAAAACAAGTAATTAAAGGATAGAGAAAATAAGAGAAAGAGGTCTGACTTAGAGGTTACCACTTAGCATCACATTTCTATACACTCAATTCATAATTAATGTGCGGAAAAACATATGTTGCAACAATAGTGAGTGTGTGTGATTGTTTCAACAAGCATGGATGACCAATTAAGTATATATTATCTAAACAACGCAATGAATAGCACAATATATCAAACTAGGCCATTAATCCTTCCTTTAAGCTCACAATCCAAGCATATCACATGATTAGAGAAATATACTACTTGCATTCATAAGTATGGAACATCAAATAATAAGCATGGATTGTCCTCCCATTTAACAACTAAGGTAACTACACTACATCTAAGCTAATGACATGAAAATTAAACTAATTAAACTAAAGGAGAGGCACAATTCATCAAGAAATGAGTATAAACCATCAAATAAACCACAAGAACATTCTATTAAGCACTATGTCTTGACAATCTCTAGATCTATAGCATCAACACACATAGACATGCATCAACAACACAAGAGCTAGAGATAAACACATGAACATCTATTCTAGCATACATAGACATATGAATAGAATGAAATGATCAATTGAAAGAATTAAACCACACAAATTATTGAATAAACAAGATCTATGTATATAAAAATGTCAAAACATGTATTACAACATAAATCCCCTCAAAAATACATAAATCAAGGTAAAAAAAGGTATGCTTAGGGCTAACTCTAGCCCCAAGAGGATGTCTAGTCACTCATGGATGGTGTCCTCCAACCCTCAAGGGCTATCTCCATGGTAGAAATGCTTTTTTTCTTGAGGTAGATGGAAAACTTCCCAAGAATATGTCTCTAGCCTCATCTTCTATTTTCTTCCCCTCTAAGAATGATATCAAATGTTGTATCTAAAAACATTTATGTAAAAGTGGCTCATAATCTTTATAGCTCAAATGTCACACCCAATGGTCTAGGCTTGTACATAAGGGCTCCTCCAATGATTGCACCATGAGACAACTTTTAATAAGCTGGAAATTGATTTAATTCACACTTGAGAGGGTTCAATCGATCGAACTTATTCTGAAATCGAACTTGGCTGAGATCTATCAAACTTTGGCTGAATCGATCCTCCCATGGCGGCGCCTTTTTGGATAAAGACAAATCTGAGATAGTTTTGAGATATCTTGGGAAAGATACAAAAGTGGTGGGTGGGGTGGTACAATAGGATAAGATAGAATCTTTTCAATCGATCTGATAAATGTTGGATTGATCGAACATTGTGGGATCTTTGGATAAGGACAAAAGAGTCTGGATCTATCTTGGAGTGCAAAGATCGATTTATGTCAGATCGATCAAAGAAATTCTGTGATCGATCGAACTTTGCTGAACTTCCACCACTTACTTCATTTCGCTTCCACTTTTCTCCTTTATTTCATTTATCTCAAGATTGCTTCAATTACGCTCTTATTTGGCTGAATTAGCTTATTTTGGAGATTAGTGCCTGAAAAAGGAAATAACATGAAATCAATTTAAAGTGGGAAAATAATATAGATAAAAGGCCTAGAATACCTAAGCTTAACGGGTTTAAATGCGCACTTTTCAGCACTCATCAGATATCATTTTTGTCACGACCCAAAAATTCTAACAAAATTCTCAATTCATTCAAATTCAAATACATCAAAATACACTAGGATCATAAAAAATGCCCTCTTTTATACAAAATCAATTTCCTCAAATATACACAAAAATTCTCCAAATAAATCAATTAAATCCTGTAACGTCGACTCTTCACCCTAAGCTCGTATCTAGCAATCTCTATTCATCTTCGGTACCTAAAACTGGAGGGTGGTGAGACAGAAAGTCCCAGTAAGAAAAACCATAACAAGAATTTCATGGAGGTTTAATAAAATAGCTTCACAAAATATACATATTCATGTGAGTATATAAACAAAATACATATGCATTTAATTAAAGCATTTAATAAAAACCATTGAAGCAAAATCACCCCATGCCATTCAAGGTATAGAGAACCTTACATTGAAAAAGAGTTTTCCTCACTGGATCACCAAGTCCTCAAACCTTCGGCCTCCACTGCAACTCTCGGACCTCTCACTGTCTCTCCTCCTCAAACTCTCGGCCCTCTCTATCTGTAAACTCTCTCTATATTCCTACTTATTTAGTGCACACAACACACATTTAAATAGCCAATTCCACCGACACCCAACACAATCAGCCAACAAACCCACGTGCATAAAGCATAATTTTGGCCCAAAAAGTCTACTGGGTCCTACCATCTTCATCATCATAATCTTTTCTTCCATCAGATCACTTTCTTTACTCTTACAAGCAACAAATATCAACCATGCATAGCCAAAGCCCAAAAGAGTTTTGCCCAAGTAATATCATTGTGGGTCCTGCTAGTACACAACACACAATCTCTCTCTTTTCCCACTTCGGCTGCTCCCTTTTATCACCATAACCCATTTATATATAAATATACAAATATATATATATATATATATATATATATATATATATATATATATATATTATGTGACATAAAAAAAATCAATCCACCTTCAGTCTCAAAATTTACAAATCCCATAAAACAGACCCAATATCTCTAAATATCAATCTTTGTCAAATATAAATCATAAAATAAATATAAATTAAAATCTTAAAAATTCGGGTCGTCACAGTTAACCTAGGATTCGGACCCAATTTATTCAGAATTATTCCCTCAATAAATTGGAAAGATTCATTCTCATTTTAGTCTTTGTTTCTAACTGTTTGTACAACTGCAAATCTTTGACTTTGTGCATTTATTTATTTCCTTATTTTCTAACTATTTGTATAACTGCAAATCTTTGACTTTGTGGATTTATTTATTTCCTTATTTATAGCCTAGAGTGTAGCTGTCAATTCTTGTATATATAGTCCTTGCACAATCTGTAATGATGAAGGAAATATAGAATTCCCTTTTCAAAAACTTTCCTCACTTTATTTTTATTTATTTATTTATTTATTTTTTTGTAGCAACACTGTTAAAAGAAAAAAAAGGAAAAAAATCCCACTATCAGTCTGCATTGGTTTTCAGAATTTGGAATAAATTTGTTTTCATTAGTTTGCATTTTATTTTTGATTTTGATTTTCTATTTTTATCTTTACTTTTTTAAAAATTATTATTTTTTTATATATGTACTTCTATTTTTATATTTACATGTCCATTGTTGGCATCCTCCACTAGTATCTTTTTTAGTCATTTTATTTATTTTTATATATTTTATAAAATGGTTCAATAAGGACAATTTAGTCAGCTTAGGGTTTAAATTTGTTAGAGGGACCTATTGTACCAAATTGAAACTTTACGGGTATTTTT